CTTCAGGGCGCCCCTGCTTCAAGTCTGAGAGCTTCGAGGAACCCTGAGCAGTGGGCGGGCGGCTCGCCCCGACGCCGACCACGTGGGGCAGAAGGCCTCTCCCCGGGCAGGCGGAGCCCTGTATCCCTTCGGTACTCGCTAGCAGCGGGCTCAGGTGCGGGCTGCACAGGGACAGAGACCGCCCCTGGAGCTCCGAGCAGACACGCGGCTGGTAGTTCCCGAGTTAGTCCAGGCAGAGCAAGGGTCCTAAAGAAGCAGCTTCCTCTTACATGTCTGCCCTTGCGCCGGCCTCTCGGGTTTGTGGGTCGCTCCAAGAAAGGCAGTCTTTGGGGCAACGAGGGACGCCCCCCAGGACTTGGCAAGACGGGTCTTCTTCGGATCCGTCCACACCGTTAGGGATGCTCTCCACCGTGAGACTGCCTGGAGGAGGCATCTACGCGGCGGGGGAGCGCTGCCGAAAGGGTGGGGAAATGGGATAGAAAACTCGCCCCCCTTTGAGGGTACCCAACATGGCCCCTGGCAAGCCACAACCCAGGAGAAACCATTTCCCGGTTTCAGCCGCATAAGCACCCACCCCCCGAAATTTGGAGAAGAAACCCCAGAGTGGCGGCGTGCACGACCTTAACCCTGACACCCAGACAGGATCTCGGGACCAGGCTGGCTCCAATGCCTGGCTCCCACCGTGGCGACCCAGGGTCCCTCCTTTCCTCCCCTCCACCGTTCCCTCTGCCAGCGGCAGCTCGGGGGAATGAGGATCTACTCGCGCAGGACCGAGTTCAGGCGGTCCTCCTCTCCCGGGCGCAGGGGCTTACCAGTCGGAGAGCTCAGGCGTCACCCGACTTTCCCGCTTGGCCGAGTCCCCTACCCTGGGTGCTGACGGGCTCACGGGCTCACCTGCACACGAACTCCTCAAAGGTAGCCTCCCTGCCGAGGTTCACGTCCACCTGTCTACACAGCGGCGCGTTTCCCACCCGCTGGCGCACACTTGCTCCCAAGCCTTCACGCGCCTCCCAGCACAGCTCACCCGCGGGACCGCGGCCCCCCTCCAGCGTCCCCTAGACAGCTCTGAGCAGGCCGAGGACCGAAGCCTCAGTGCTGGGGCGAGAACGCGGAAAAAAGAGAAGAGCCGGTCGCTAGTCCCACCCCTCCTCCATCCGGCCTCATCTAAAAACTCCTTTCCAGAACCCCAGCGAAATCCCCGCAGGCGGTGGCCGAATTCCTGGCTCCCACCCGCCCACTTATCTTGTCCCTGCTTTTCTCGTGGGCTGAAACTTCTTCCCAGCTAGAACTGGACATTACCCAGGTTGAGTGGCCCTGTGTTCTCTCTCCAGGCCCGCTGGTTCTGTTTAGCCTTTCCTGGTGCCGCGCGCCCTCACGCCCTGCTCCCTGGGCCAGCCACTCCCTTGCGCCTGGCCTCGGGCGAGTTCTGGCGGAGGGTGCACACGTGGAGCCCTGCTTGCTCCAGTCCGAGCACCTCAGCCCCGGGCTTTCAAGCAGATTCCCTTAAGCTGCCGAGGGCTGGGTTCTACGTTCTTCATTCGTTTTCAACACCGAAGGCCTTGTGGGCTGCTGGGTGAGAACAAACGACAACGACGGGCAGATAGGGAGCCTCGGCGCTTGCAGTCTTTCAGTCCCTTTAGGTAGCTGGAGCAAAACCTGCGGCTTCTATGGCTGCCACGGGGGTAGAAAGAGATGGGGTGGCGGAGGGGTAACAAGCCACTGGGAGTCCCGTTTGCTGACAGCCGCTTGCGAGTGGTTGCATTCGCCAAG